CTTTAGGCAAAAAGGTATCCTTATAACGCACCAGAGGATCCACACTGGGGAGAGGCCCTATGAGTGTGAGGACTGTGGGAAGAGTTTCAGACACTACTCCAGCGTGATTGTTCACCAGAGGACCCACACTGGGGAGAGGCCCTATGAGTGTGAGGACTGTGGGAAGAGTTTCAGACACTACTCCAGCGTGATTGTTCACCAGAGGATCCACACTGGGGAGAGGCCCTATGAGTGTGAGGACTGTGGGAAGAGTTTCAGACACTACTCCAGCGTGATTGTTCACCAGAGGACCCACACTCGGGAGAGGCCCTATGAGTGTTGTGAGTGTGGGGAGAGGTTTCAGAGCAGATACCGTCTCCTCAAGCATCAAAGGATTCACACAGAATAGAGGCCCTTCCACTGTCCTGATTGTGGGAAGACCATTAAGAAAGACTCCACTCAGTCACACCTCAGTAGACCCACACTGGGGAGAGCCCCTAATAGTGTCCCAAGAGTGGGAAGAGCGTATCCCAGACCTTTACAGTAAGCAACAGGAAGAGAGGCAGGAGTAAGGGAAGCCCAACAAGTGCTCTGTGTGCAGGAGGACCTCTGTGTGCTGCTCCAACTCCATCCCCCATTGGAGGACCCCCATGGGATGATGCACAGTGGCCCTCGTTGGGCAGAGACTCTGTGCTGGAGCTGAGTGATTCACTGGCTGGTGGCCTGCACATGTTCCTGGCTCTGTTTGGGCACCTGGATGCAAGAGGAGCTGAAGGGGACATGGCCTTGGACAGTGATATGGGGAGTCATGGACATGGAAGGAGACATGGGCGACACGGGCATGGGTGGGTGTCGTGGTGTGTGTTTCGGATTGTCATTCCGTTCTTGTAGTCAGTTCTATAACCCCCTCCGTCTTTTCTATTTTTATAGCAAATTTGTTGCCTGTGTCTTGTTCCTATCTCTCCTATGTTGGTGTTTTTGCCCAAGGTGTCCCTCTCCCCAAAGACCTGCCCTTTTGTTCCCTGTCCCTGCTCCCAGTGAGTGTCACCCCCTTCCCGTGCCTGCCCCTTTCTCTAGAAACTTCCCTCTCCATTTTGTATCCTTGGAGGAGGCCCCAGGGATTGGTTTCGATTGTTCTCCTCCCCTGCAATCCCCTCTTGGGTTAAACATTGGATCCCCGCCTTGTGTTCCTGCCCAGGTTTCTCGCAGCTGGTTAAAG